TTGACAAATTATATTTCTGGAATCAAATATATAGTATATTTCTTTTACATACAAGTATAACACAGATTACGGTTTGGTTTTGCACATTCTGTGTGAGTCTACTGCCATTAGAAGTTCCTGGGAAGCCTGGCTGGCTCCGTCAGTGCAGCGGGTGGATCTTGATCTTGGGGTTGTGAGTTCAAGCCCCACACTGGGTGTAGAGTTACTTAAAAATTAAAATCTTTAAAAAAAAAAAAATTCTTCCAACTACTATCAACCAGTAGCAGTCATGGGGTCTAGTGCAGAGTGATAGGTACAAGAAGTACAAAGTAAGTTCTTCATGAGAAGCTTCTGGCCCACGAGATAAACAGACCTGTATACCTACTAGTACATAAATACTAAGGACTTTAAGGTATGAGTGCAAGCTTCATGTTGCTTCCTGGAGTAGAATTTATGTTAAGTAAATTAACCTGGGTTTTCTTTGTCTACTCCTGACCCTTGTACTTCACCACTGACCTTATCAGTTTATCCTCCTCAACCTCGAATTAACCACCTTTATACAATCAAGTGTACCCCTACAGGTTATAGTCTTTCCTGGCTTCTAATAGAGTTCTCTCTCCCCCACTGGACCTTTTCAGCTCTAGGGGAAAAGGTCTTTTGGCTGATTTGAATCCCCACCCGCACTAGCAGTAATCTAACATCGTAAGCACTCCAAAGGTGGCTGTTGAATGAATGCTAGACTTGGCTGTGTGTGCGTGAGTTTGTATAACCAGGCGGAGATCAGACCACTGGGACAGTGACTAACACTGGCTTCCAGGTTTAGTTCATTGTTTGTTTAAGTTTTAGATTATAGGTGTTGTCGGTTTCCTCTTAGAAACAGAAACATCACCTCTTCACTTTATAAGGCACGGTTGCCTTTGCGAATCAGGACATGCACATACATGAACTTTCAGTTGTCCTTTTTAACAGATGGTTTCTGCAAGTTTTCCTCTGCCAGAGATGGGGGGAACACCACATTTTTAACTGCTTCATCTAGCACCTACATAACTCTGAACAGTGTGGGTTATCAGGAGCAGGGCACTACTGGCTGAGTAGTGAGAAGGGCTAACTGAAGTCCAGGAGCAAGGCTGTCCAGGGTCCTACCTTACCAGGTTCACGGCCAGACATCTGACTCATCAGCTTTACAAAGGGTGGAATGACTGTAAACAGAATTAAAGTGAAAGTACCATGAACCACTCGTGATTAAGAGCTTAACTCCTAGCAAATGAGTTTCCATAGAGAAAGGAAAAATCGAACAGTCGTTAGCAAAAAGACAGGCCATCAGAAAGATCTTAGGAACAACCTTACCACCTCTATTTAACGCATGTGGAGCCTACTGGAAGCCATGTTAAGAAAGGGCCAAGGTGCGGGGCACCTGGGTGGCTCAGTTGTTAAGCATCTGCCTTCGGCTCAGGTCATGATCCCAGGGTCCTGGGATCGAGCGCCGCGTCAAGCCCCGCATCGGGCTCCCCGCTCCACAGGAAGCCCGCTTCTCCCTCTCCCACTCCCCCTGCTTGTGTTCCCTCTCTTGCTGTGTCTCTCTCTGTCAAATAAATTAAATCTTTAAAAAAAAAAAAAAAAAAGAAAGGGCCAAGGTGGCCATGTTCGTTGTTGGTGGAGGTGGGGGATGAAATGGACAGAGGAGCGATGTGTGTGGGCCAGTTCTGCTCATCTCTGCCCTTTTTGCTCAGGCTCTTCCAACATTTTTCAGTGCAAGACTTACCCATTATCTGGGGACCTGGGGGAGGGATATTAATTCCTTTAATAAAAAGCGAATACCTATTACGTGTTAGGCAATTACTAAGCCCTGGAAATTCCAATACGAATAAGAAAGTCACTCCCTTGGGGTACCTGGGTGGCTCAGTCGGTTAAGCAGTTGTCTGCCTTCAGCTCAAGTCATGAGCCTGGGGTCCTGAAACTGAGCCCCGCATCAGGCTCCCTGCTCGGCAGGGAGTCTGCTTCTCCCTCTGCCCCTCTCCCCCGGCTTATGCTCTTTCTCTTTCTTTCAAATAAACACATAAAATCTTTAAAAAAAAAATCATGAAGTCACTCCCTCAAACATATTGCGATGTGGTCAGGGATACAGACAGAAAAACAATTATAAGACAGATGTGGGGGGCTAGAATCAAGCACATACAAAATATGAAGGCAAAATAACCCACGTCTGCTTTTCTTTGGGTTTTTGTAAGAGCTGACCTTTGATCTGAGACTTAAGGTTGAATGAGAATGGACAGTGGAAGGAGGGTGGGTATGGCATGTGGGACAGTGGGGGCTGCGTAGAAGTTTAGAAGTCTGATGGGGCCAGGAGCACGGCAGCAAGTTCTGCCAAGGCTGGAGCTTAAAGGTTCACAGAAGCCGCCACAGAACTGAGGCTACAGTGGAAGGGAGAAATGGTGGGGAAGAGCCAGCCATTTGGAAAGCCCGAGCTCTCTCCTGTGACTGACGGGCAAGTGTTGGGGGAAATCCAGACCGCCCAGCCTGTCATTTATCCAGCCATCCCTCCCTGACCCAAATATGAGAGACGGCTACAGTAATGTCCATCAACCTGAAAGCAGCCCTCCATCAATCATCTGGAATGCTGCTGAACCCAGTGCTGCCTCTGAAACTCTAAGACTTAATGCAAATGACCAAGTGCCTTGAACCCAAATATGCAGAGACTATAATAACAATACTAGTAATATGTGAGTGCTCGTAAGCACTTTACGTACACCTTCTCACTTCGTCCTCCCTCCAACCCAAAGACGCAAGTGGTGTTATTCCTATTTTACAGACGAGGACACAGGCTCAGAGGTGTAGTGACTCGTCTAGTAAGTGACGGAGCTGGGATATGAACCTACTGCGTCTGGCCCAGGAGAGACGTGGCAAGGAGGACAGACGAGAAACAAGAAACGAAGGTTACAACAGAAGTGCAGATACGGGAATGAGGACTATCAGCTGTGGTGAGGGCAAAAAAATGCAGGCCTCCCGGCAACTGAAGAGAGTCAGCTCTGCAAAGGCTGAAAGGACTGGGGGTGGAGGGGGGGGTGGTGCCACGGGGAGGACTGTGGGTCCCCAGAAGTTCCACTGTGTCAGACTCTGAGTTCCGGGAAGCTGGTATTGAATTCTGTCACAGCGCAGGAGCTCTGCCAAGGACCATGGAGCGCTCCTAACTCAATGCTTCTTTTAACGTGGAAACTGGGGCCAGAGAGGAGAAATGGCTACAGACGGTCACCGACAGAACAGGGAACGGGTTCTGTTCTCCTCCCATCTCTAGACTACTGCTTCTGCTGTCCGACAGCCACTCGTCCTCCTGCTAATAGTACCCCGGTCTCACTGAGCCCTCCCAGCATGGGTCTTAGTCCCCTGGGGCTGCTGTAACAAAAATACCAGAGTGGGGGGCTGAAACCACAAACACCGATCCCTCAAAGTTCTGGAAGCTGGAAGTGCAAGGTCCAGGTGCCAGCAGGTCTGGTGTCTGGTGACAGCCTCCTTCCTGGCTGGTAGACAGCCACCTGTCACTGTATCCTCACAAGGGGAGGGGGTGTGGGCTCTTGTGTGTCTCTTCTCAATCAGGGCATCACCTTCTTCCGAGGGCTCCACCCCCATGACCCAGTGACCACCACCCCGCCTCCCCAAGGCCCCATCACCAAATACCATCCAACTGAGGATGAAGGTTTCAATGTACGAATTTTAGGGGGACACAAACACACAGCGCCTGATAACCCACACCTCCAGACTGCGCCAGTCCGCAAAAGCCACACTGATGGTTACACACAAGACCACAAAACCAGCCAGCATGAATCAGAGGCTTTTCTGCCTCTCGTCCCAGTGGAGTTGGCCCGTGCGGGGCTTCCGCGGCCACCGCACGGTGGGGGAAAAAGCTGGTCTGCATCCTCGGAAAGGGGCGAGGGCGAGAACCCGAGCGGGAGGAAGGGGAACCAGGTCCAAGCCACAGTGCTGCAGCCTCTACGTCGGGCTGTGGCTGGCGTGCCAGCAGTCACGGCTCCTGCTTTGGTTCTCATCTCCGCCCCAACTGCGGGGGTTGCTCCCGGGCTGCCCCCGAGGAGATGGAAAGAGGGGCGGGCGCATCACTTCCATCCCGGCCGGCAGACGGCACAGCACTCGCTTCTGAGCTAGTACTAGGTACTAGGCTGGCCCACCTCCCGTCAGGGTTTCTGTCACTGGCAACACCGGAGTCTGAACACAACAGCGGCCTGTTGCCGCCACCACGCCACGCTGTCCTCACAGCATCACAAGTCTGGAGGAATTCTCCGGAGGAGGTTAAAGCTCTGGGTTTGTGTGCACAACGCCACCACCTCGACACCTGCCTCCACCTGCGCCCGCCGGCTCTCCTCCTCCCACCTCCGGTCGCCACGGGGCCGCCCCCCCCACCCCCGCCTCGGGCCCTCCCGGCCGCCCCCTCCTCGCCTTCCGTCCAGAGAACACAAGGCTGGCGGGCAGGTGCTGGGAGGCGGCGGGCGGGTCCTGAAGAAACGACGGGCTGGGGCCCGAGGTACGACGGGTCGGTCCTGAAGGGACGACGGGCCGGGTTCTGGGGGGCGGCAGGGGGCCTCGGGGGGGGGTGGTGGTGGTGGTGGCGGGGGAAGGTTCTGGGGGCGTCGGTGGTCTGCAGGCCCGCCTGGCTCCCGGGAGCGCGCGAAAGCCTCGCCGCACCAGCCGGCCGCAGCACCTACTCCACCCCGACCCCGGAAGTGGGTGGGCGCGCGACCCCCCGGCGGGCCCGCGATGCGGTGCGCCGCAGCCAATCGCGCGCGCCCGGCCTTGCGTCACGGCGAGGCCGGCCAATGGGCGCGGGCCTGACGGCCGCTTCCTGCCCGCCCGCTAGCCCCGGCAGCTGGGGCAGGGCCGACCCGCTAGCCCGGCCGCCGACGAGCGATCGCCGCGACCCCGCCCGCCGGGCGCCCGCCCAGGTGAGTGCGGCGGCGGCGGCGGCGGCGGCGGCGGCGGCACCGCCCGGCCTCTCCGGGTAGGTTGGGGCGGCGGAGGCCTGGGGATCCTCCTCTCCCCGCGGCTGCTTTGGGTGGGAGAGGCTGTGCTCGTGCGCTCTCCTGCACACGGTGCGGGGCGCCGTCGCCATCCCCCAGAACGCCCGGTGACGCCCCCGCTCCAGCCTTTGCGCTGGAGTGACTTGGGGAGCGGGTGGCTGGAGCCTGCGGATTTAGAGGATCGAGCTGCGAGGAGCGCGTTTGTCCCTCCCCGAGGCAGCGGTAGGAGCAAATCTGCGTGTCGTGGGATTAGCGCGGGCAGATGGTGAGGGCCGGGCGCTCCGACTACGCCCCTGGTGGCCGGGCAGGGGGCCCACCTGTCGCCCAAGTGCACGGAACCGGAATGAAAGCAGGCTGGCCCGGCCGCGATGATGCGGGGTGGGATGGGGTGGAGTTCATCCCCAGATTGCCGGCTCAGGGCATCTCCTGCCCAGTGCGGCCAGCCGACCCTGCCTCAGGAAGGACCCAACTACCGGGCATGTCCTGCCATTTTCTCCCGCGTCTTTGCACCGTGATGTCGCTTTCCAGCAGCCCCCGCAAGTGGCAGGCAGTAAGCACCCGTCAGAAGGCAGGGCTCTGTGTTTGCTCAAGGGGTGGGAGAGACAGGGTGTAAGAGAAAAACCCAACAGGAAACCTTTCTGGAAGGAGCCCTAAGGCAGACGCAGGGAAACAGATGCTTCGGGAGCTCCCTTGGCCCCCTTGTGTCCCTCCCTCTCCCATACCCCGGCCCTGCTTTCCCCACCCTCACCTTCCCTGGAGGACCTTTTGGTCTCCGAAGGGACCTATTAGTAAACCTGCGCAGTAAGGCAGTTGGCTCAGAGGATGGTGAGCAGGTGACCTCCTAGTGGATTGACCGAAGGTCCAGCTGGAATTCATTGTACAAAAGTTCTTGGTGAACCCCCAAGGTTGCTTTCTTGGAAAGCATTCTCTCTGGCCCTACAAAACACAGAAATCCCAGGATCCCAGAATCATGGGACTTAATGCCCAATCCTTCCTTTCCAGAGTCTTCTGACCCAGTGACCCAGTGTCCCTGGACTGGTTACCTGGTCACCTCGGAGCCAGGAAGTGGTATATAGGGAGCTGGGGTGGCATCCTGGCAGGAGCAGAAAGGGGGTGAGGCTGGCCAAGGGTGTTCACCCCTATCCTCTTTAGCCAGGAAGCGATGGTGCCTGTGTGTCCACTCTGAAGGGAGTCTGCAAACATAAACCTGCCTCCTCTCCTTTCTCTGCAGTAGGGTCTTTTGTTAGCTGCCCAGAAGGTTCAGTTTATGTCTATATGGAAATTAGTGCTTAGTCATTTCTCTGAAGGGAAGTGTATCGAGTAAGCGAAAGTCACTACTCATTGAGCTCAACCTAGAGATGGCCTGACTTCACTGGTTTCTTCTGCGGTGAACTGTGACCTGAGAGATGGATTTATATTCACATGACATCACAGGAGCCAGCATTCCCTTTACCCCCAGAATTCTTACTTTCCCCCCCCAACAGTTTATGATGAGGATATTCAACCACATGGCCAAGTGTTTAAAGAATTATACAGTAAACGCCCTTATTGCCCCCCCTACCTGAATTCGGCTGTTGATCTTTTACTAGTTTTATCCCATACCTATCCACCTATCATGACCTTACCTTAAACCTTAAGTCATGGATGATATTTGGCTTCCCTGGAGCAGTATTTCCATCTTAGCTCAGGGAGTTGGCCGTGCCATGGATGGAGGTGGTGATGATTATCCCTAAACTTTGGGTGAGCACCCACTATGTGCAGGGTACTGTTAGGTACCCTGGAAATGAAGAGGCTGAAGACTCAGGCTGAGGAGGAAGGGATTTGATTTTTTTCTGTTTTCTAAGAGATAGGACATCAGCGGTAGTGTGTAAAAGCAGGTGCCAAGTAATAAAACGGCACCAGTAACGCTCACGGAGTTCTTGCTGCGTACCGGGCACTATCGCAGGTTCCGTACCTATATTATCTCACTTCATTCCTACAACGACTTCGTAAGGAGGTCGGTATTGCCTTCCGCCTTTAACAAATTAAGAAATCGAGGCATAGAGAGGCTAGTCGGCTCCAGGTGGTGCCAGAAAGGGATGGAGCCCGGACCCAGATTCCAGCAGTTCACAGTGTAGATGCCAGAGGGGGAGAGTGGACCCCCAGGCTTGGCCAGGTAGGAGCAAACAGGTGTCTTGGGGTTACCAGAGCTCTTCCATCTGGATGCAGATACCGGTTTTCAAGTGGCTCCAGAAGGCTGGTGTTGTGACTTCCCGTGTGTTTGACCGGGATGACGTACCAGGGCAGAGAGGTCACGGTTCTGGGGTGTCTCCCAACGTGTGGCTCCTATTGCTTCCCTTCTTCCTCATCCCTTGGTTACTTCCTCCCCCGCCTGCTCTCTTCTTGGTGTTTGTAAGACACGCTTTGTTCCAGAAAAGCCTATGTGCCTGTAGCAGATGCTCCTGTTCTCAGCCACTTTGCATCTGTCACGCTGTCCCAAGCACCCACAGCCTGGCCCAGCAGCCTCGAGGCACCCGGCCTGCCCCTGCCGGTCTCCCCAGGAGCTCTTCCCTCCTTCCTGGCCCTGGGGCAGCGTCAGGCAGAACTTCTCACTGCCCCCCACCCCCAGGCCGCTGCCATCCAGCTTTTCTGTTTGGCTGCTGAGGTTCTGACCTGTGGCCCTGCCTTGGTAGGAGGCTTGACCCTACCAGAAGCCAGGCTCCAGGAATCAGGCCCCAGGGAGCACCAGCACAGTCGGCCCTGGAGGTGTGGGCGTGGCCAGTGATAGAACTTACCAGTCGCTCCCCCCCTTCCCTAGGGCAGAAAGGAAGAAGACAGGAAAAGGAGCAGGAGTGGAGGATGGCGGATGGGGAAGGGCTGAGGCGGGGAGGGTGGTGGTCACCCACAGGGGGTCGAAGACGGGACCCTCACATCCCCGCCATGCAGCTGCAGGGCTCTCGCAGGACCGGGCTGGGGTGCCAGACCCGTGGGGACGCTTTCACCAAACCCGTATAGGATCGTCAGCCGTGAGACCAGCATAAATGAGGGGACCTGCCCACCGTGGGGCAGAGGCCTCCTGGGCAGGCAGCGATGGGCATAGGATCGAACTAAATCCGCGACTTTGCCTTTGTTCTTTTGACAAGAAAGATAGGGAGGAAATGTGACCAAATAACGCACGACATGCTATAGATTTGAGGAGGTAAATGCAATTTTTTTAAATAATGCCCACCGTTAGAGGGAAGGCAAGAACAAGGAAGGAAAGCGTGCCCTAGGCTCCGGACGCCGGGAGCTGGCGGCGGACACTGACCCGGCCTCCCGCTTCCAGCTCTCCCCGGGCTGCCGCGGCCATGCCCAACTCGGTGCTGTGGGCCGTGGATCTCTTTGGGAAGGTGTACACGCTGTCCACGGCGGGCCAGTACTGGGAGCTCTGCAGGGACAGCCCGCTGGAGTTCAAGCGCGTCAGCGCCACCACGCAGTGCTGCTGGGGCATCGCCTGCGACAACCAGGTCTACGTGTTCGTGTGCGCCAGCGACGTTCCTATCCGCCGCCGGGAGGAGGCCTATGAGAACCAGGTGGGCTCACGCGTGTTTGGGTGGCTGCCTTGGGTCGGTTTTCTGGGAAGGAAATCGCCCCGCCCCAGACGTTCGTGTCCTTCATTCTGCTTCAGGTCTCGGTTCTATAGCGTTCGGGGGCTTTGGGGCCGGAGCGCCTGTCGTGTCTTTATAAAGGCAGGCTGGCCAGGTCCGCACAAGGGTGGGCTCCAGGTGGTCTCCAGGAGCCCAGGAGCTGGACCTGACCTCTCCTGCCTGCCGCTCGGGGCCACGCTCAAGTGCTGGCTCTTGGTGACGAGCCGTGGGGAGGCCCTGATCCCTGAGCTCCGGGCAGACCGTCTGCCCGCTCTCCATCCTGGAGATCAGCAGGAAGGCCCCCTAGGGGCGGGGTCCCACTCAGCCCCGGCCCGGCTGCAGGCCTCAGGCCTGTCTCTGCTTCCCGGCCCTCAGCGCTGGAACCCCGTGGGTGGCTTCTGTGAGAAGTTCCTGCCCAGTGACCGCTGGCAGTGGAGTGACGTGAGTGGGCTCCAGCACCGGCCGCTGGACGGGGTGGCCCTGCCCTCGCGGCACTGGGAGTGGGAGTCGGACTGGTACGTGGATGAGAACTTTGGAGGGGAGCCCACCGAGAAAGGGGTAGGTGAATTCGGTTCCCGCTGGGGCTCCCCTGTGGGGAAGGAGTGCTTGGGGCTGGACCCATACCCCCCACCCCACCCCCACCCGCCCCGTGCCGTCCCCAGCACCCCAGCTGGCGCCCTGCATGCTCCAGCTTGCTGCTCGGGAGAGGTGGCTGTTGGCGCTTTGGGCCATACCACTGTCTCCCTCCCTCTCTTCCACCCTGCTCCCCACCTGCACCGGCTCTGTCCTTCCCCGGGAGCCTTACAGAGCGCCCCCCCGCCCCCCCCCGCGTGGTCTTTCAGGGGTGGACATACGCCATCGACTTCCCCGCTACGTACACGAGAGACAAGAAGTGGAATTCTTGTGTGCGGCGGCGGAGGTGGATCCGGTATAGGAGATACAAGTCCCGGGACACCTGGGCCAAGGTCTACGCCCGAGTGGGGCCCGGGGGTGGGGCAGCGCCCCGACAGCCATACCGCTGTCGGGAGGGTCGCATGGGACCCTGTCCCAAGAACACCGTGGTACTGTGTGTTCCTTCATTTGAGAGCTCGCCATACAGGAAGCCAGACTAGACTGTGGCCCAGGACAGCACAGAACATGACCTGACTGGCCTCCAGGTGGTTCGGTCCCGGCCTGAGGCTCAGTCTGTATACCTCTTCCTCCCCCCAGCTCCCACAGGAGCCACTCTGACCCTCGTATTGTTCCCGTGACCCCCAGAAACTTTCCAGCTTAGGTATCGGAGGCCTGGACTAGGGTCCTGTGTGGCCTTGCATAAGAGGAGGGCCTTGGACCCTCACCAGACCCCTCTGGAGGTCCACGAGGTGGGGCCGCTAGCCCAGCCTGCCAGCCCCTGGCCCTGCGAGCAGCCCAGAGAGCAGGGTACCCCCCATGACCAGCATCATGGAGGGTTTACACCACAGGACTGGGTTCTGTGATCGGCCCCCTTCTCGAAGGGTGAGGGGACAGAGTCACAGCGGTTGGGCCACCACAAGGCACAGACCTGAGACCCTGCTTGTACGTCTGTCTTCCAGGCTGGAGTAACAGTGGCCCCTCGGGGATAGCGGCCCAGGCCTGGTGCCCGATAGAGGGAGAACAGGGCAGAAGGGACCCAAGGCTAGGAGCTCTCTGTCCCAATGCTGCCTTCTCCATGTCAGGCAGTTGTGGGGCGAGCTGGAGAATGGAAGGCAGTGTGCTGGGAGGTGGGAGGGAGCGTTGGAGGGGTACGCCGCCCGGGTGTCCAGCGGGAGGGGAACAGTGCCATCTACCTGGCCAGGTGCCCACAGGTACTGACCACTTCTGCCACACACCTTGTTTCAGATCCCTTCGAAGGAGGACCCCAAGCAACTGCCTGACCCCTTCAATGACCTCTCTGTGGGGGGGTGGGAAATCACAGACGAGCCCGTGGGCCGCCTGTCCGTGTGGGCTGTGTCTCTGCAGGGAAAGGTAAGGCCTGTGTCGCCCTGTGCCTAGGATGGGAGGTGGCTGAGGGAGGCTGGCCACAGCAGGAGCGGGGCGGGAGAGACTGGCCTTCAGGTGTCCTCCCAGGGGTGGAAGAGGGGTGAGGGGGCTGCCCTCCTCACCCCCTGTCCTCACAGCAGGGACTACCCTGAGCAGGCAAGGCGGCGTGTTGCTGGGGTCCCCACAGGAGCCCCTCCTGTGAATCCTGCTGTGCTGTGCTCCTGCTCCTCCCAGAAGCCTCTTGACATCCCACCTCATGCCTGGCCCTGGCCTGTCCCTTCTCTGAGCTCCCAGAGCATTGATCAGTGCCCACCCTGAGCTCAGATGCCATCAATAGTGTCTCCTCAGACTGATTCTGAGCTCCCTGCCGGTTCCCTTCTGGTGGCTCCCACACAGCAGTCTCCAGTAGGATTGTGGGTGGGATTGCGGACTTCAGGGGAGGGAGTCACATATGGATCGGTGAATGGACAGGTGGACAGATGGGTGGGTGTTGGATGAGTAAGTGGGTTGGTGGGCGGGTGGATGGCTGGGTGTGTGGGCAGGCGGTTGGACGATGGGTAGCTGGGGAGGCCAGTGGGTGGGTGGGCGGGTGGATGGCTGGGTGTGTGTGTAGGTGGATGGATATTTAGAGAGGAGAGGAGATTCTTCTCTCGGAGTTTACGAACTAAGGAGTAAAGCCAGCCCCTGATGGCAGGAGCAACATAGGTGGTCCTGCCTGCAGGTGACTGAACACTTCAGCTGTGGTTTTAGAGCAGACTTCATCTATCCAGTACTCTTTATCACAAATTCACCCAAATTCTCTGGCTGGCTTCAGCATAGACACAGTAGGTTTTGATCAGGCTTACCTCTGGGTCCTGTTTGGCCTGGGTTTAGGTCAGCCATAGTTGTGGGTTTTCTCTGAGCCGTGCTGAAGGATGGTGGGGAGCTCACCTGGGACGGAGCCCCCGTTGAGGGGCCATGACCACCTGGATGCGGAGAGGGGAGAACAGGGGCAGGAGAGCAGTGTGCAGTCACTGCGTGCCGGCCCTGAGCTGGTGCCTCCCTGCACCGCTCCTGGGGGCCATGAAAGGTACAATAGGACCCTCGGCTCCAGGAGGAGCTAGAGAAGAGACAGAGGGGTCCCCAGACCACCAGAGGGAGGCTGCCCAGGCGTGGTTCTGCAGTGTGAGCTGTGAGGGTGAGGCAAAGGGTTGGGAAGCCGTGGTCCCCAGTGTGAAGACAGGCTGGGGGGTGGTCCCCAGGCTTCCTGCACCTTGCAGCAAGATGTAGCCCTCTGCAGAGGACGCGAGCCAGTTTGGACAACATGATCAGGTGGCTCAGTCTTAAATATTTTATTATATTCATCGCTTTCAGGTTAAGGGGGAAAAGAAGTGGACATTTTAAACATTTGTATGAAAGGGATTTGGGGGTTTTCCCATTTAACCAAGGACCTCACTTTCCCTAGAGACGGTGTACTGAGAGTACATGGCCACTAGGGGGCACGGGACACCAGGCTGGGGCCAGAGGTCTAACCAGGGCCCTAGGTGAAGGGGGAAGGGGTTTTCTTTCTTTTTTTTCCTTTTTTTTTTTTAAGATTTTATTTATTTATTTGACAGAGAGAGACACACAGCGAGAGAGGGAACACAAGCAGGGGGAGTGGAGAGGGAGAAGCAGTCTTCCCGCGGAGCAGGGAGCCCAATGTGGGGCTTGATCCCAGAACCCCGGGATCATGCCCTGAGCCGAAGGCAGACACTCAACGACTGAGCCACCCAGGCGCCCATGGGGAAGGGGTTCTTGCAAGCAGATGATCCAAAGGGGTTTGTCTCCCAGGATGACTGAAATCCAGGATTACGTTTTTCAGCGGGGGTGGGGGGCATCTAATCTGGCATGAGGATCCAGATGGCAGTGGGGGCAGGGAGAGCAAGTCTGGACAGTCAGGGCTCCCTGGCCCCAGAGACTCTACACCTGGCTCAGGTGTACACTCAGGCACATAGCCAGCCGTGGAGCCCTGGCCGGACCCTGTCTGACCCTGCCGTGGGTGTCTTCGCCTCGCAGGTGTGGTACAGAGAGGACGTCAGCCACCCCAACCCCGAAGGCTCATCGTGGTCCCTCGTGGACACCCCAGGGGAGGCAGTGCAGATCAGCTGTGGGCCCCACGACCTCCTGTGGGTCACGCTCTGGGAGGGGCAGGCCTTGGTCCGGGAAGGAATCAACAGGAACAGTCCCAAAGGTGGGCAGCCCTACGCCCCATACAGGGAGAGGCCGGGGACGCCCAGCTTCTCCCCAGTGCTCTCGCTGATGGGGGCCGCCTGCTCTTTCTTCTGGGGCCGGGTAGGAAGTTCCTGGTCCCTAGTGGAGCCTCCCGCCTCTGAAAACGGGATCGTGCATGTCTCCGTGGGAGTTGGTGTGGTCTGGGCCATCACCAAGGACCGGAAAGTAAGATGGCGTCACTGGGGGCTGGGGCCAAGGGCTTTGTTTAATTCCTTTTTTTCCTTCGTTTCTTTTTCCTGAAAGGAATCACTGGCCCATAGGGAACTCAGGCCTCGGTGTTGAGGGCTGTGTGGTTTTTTTGTTCTTGCAAGTGTGGTCTCAACCCCTTAGAGCAGATCCAGCCAAGCACCGTGCACTTTCTGGGGTTGAAGGCCTTGATGATCTCCACAATATGCCCACACCCCCGTACCAAGGTGCAGAACAACTCAGTAGGCCATGACATTTCAAATAGTCAGATGCCAATTTTCTGAAACCCTCCACTAACTGAATATGCCCCTTTGCTCTCAGTGCTTGTCATATTTACCTTAACAGAGAAAGTCCAATAAAATAAGCAGATTTCAGGTTGCTTCCATTGTCTCTCTAACCCCACCTCATGGGCATCCCATAGCATCCCAGGGGATGGATCCCCCACACATCTGAGTCTGTGTCCATGCAGAAGGTCCCTGAGCCCAAAGCTTCCATCGCCTGAAGCATCCACCTCCCACGACCCCTGAGCCCCTCTCAGAACACAATGCGTCCAATGAGCAGAACCCTGTATTTATATGAGACATTTGCTCAGTCTTCAGACAGATGTTTGTGCAAACTTTCTTTGGGTCAAGGAGACATTTTAGGCAGTCTAGAAATTGTTAAAAAAAAAAAGGGGTTTGAGGGTTTCTCATTTAACCGGCCACCTCCCCGCATCCTGCCTCAGGAACTGTGGTTAAACACATGAGTGCTAATAATGCGTGATCCTCTCGGTGGGTCTCAGAACTGCTGGGGTCTTGCTCACGTGGCCATCCAGAGTGAGGAAGGAGAGTCGCGGGGAGCACGGCCGGGGTGGGAGGGGTCAGCCACGGGGCCACATGTGGGCTTGAGGGAAATTTGGTTGGATCATGTGTATTTTTATAAGTTAACCTGAAAAAAAATCAGGTTTTTTCTTTTATCTCTCTCTCTCTTTTTTTTTTTTTTTTTTTTTTTAGTAATCTCTACATTCAACATGGGGCTCAAACTCATGACCCCAAGATCAAGAGTCGCATGCTCTTCCAACTAAGCCCAGGCAGGTGCCCCGAGAAAAGTTAGGCTTAAAGAGACTATTTCATGAAGCAGTAAGAATAGATTCAGAATATGTTATGTATCTCATGATAGGTTTAGAAAAAAAATGGCTTTTCTAAATAACATCAATAAGGCCGTTATCTTACATAGAAGCAAGCTTGATTGGACAAAATGACATTTTCCAGGTGTCAGGCTAAGATGGGGACTGCACAGAGGTCCATGGGGGTGAGATGTCGCTCGCCAAGCTCACACAGGTCAGTGTCTGCTTTCGAGATGCAGACATTGCCCAGGAGAAGGCCCACCTCCTGGCTCTGTGCGCAGTGAGATAGCTGCTGCTCCTGCCTGGTGCCAAGAGGTGCTGAACTGGTAGAACATTCTAGAAAGATTCATGCAGCCTTGTCTCCTGGAGGGGCAGTGCTCTCTGCCCGAGACGAGACAAGAATCCACCAGGATAGGTATGGCTGAGGGCAGGTTGACCATCAACTGTGTGGGACAGTGCCAAGCCCAGAGGGAGATGCGGCAGGGGTGTGGGGAAGAGGGACCTGGATCACGTCTCCTTTCTCAGTGATGTGCTGTGCTCATCTGTGGCATGAACCAAAGGACCAAATATTCATTTGTTCTTCCAGAGCCTTTGAAAACCATCTTCTGTTTCAGTGACCCTCCAAGGGGGCCTGTCGATTTCTGACTTTCCCAGGTGTGGTTCCGAAGAGGCGTCAACTCGCACAATCCCTGTGGCACCAGCTGGATTGAGATGGTCGGAGATATGATGATGGTGAACGTGGGGCTGAACGACCAGGTGTGCACGGGACTCTGAGCCGTGGATCCCGACCTCCGGGGTCAGCAGCTCATCCACAGCCGAGGTCTCAGAGTGGGGGCTCCTGCTGCTTCCATGATGCCATCCCGGGGGCCGTGGGGGGGGAATGTGCCCAGCTGCTCCTCAGGCTCCCGGCCTGCAAGGGCACCCAGGGCGCTGGCTCCGCCTGGGTCCCACAGCCCCTGCTCGTCCCAGGCCCCTTCCCTCAGGATGCTCAGTGCGGTGGTGGTGAGCACGGACCAGGGGCGCGTGCCCCGGAGACCCGAAGGGTTTTGTTGAGAATGATTTGGGCAAAATCACTCAGTAAGTGAAGAATGAAACTGATCTTCCCAGCTTTATAGACACAGCATCTCTTGAACGTCATAGTTTGTACAGCGTGGCAGCCTCGTAGATAATGAGGTTTGGCTGCTTTGAAGACTGACTGTGGGAGGGTGACTCCTTTCGCAGCGCGCTGGCCTAGAAGCTCTTCTCAGGGGCGCAGGCCTTCTCTGTGCCCCCATGCCATCCTTCCACGCACCCTGGTCAGCAGGGTACACAATAGTCAGGGGCATGACAGGCGCTGGCTGGTGCACACGGGGACCAAGGACGGAGGCCAGCCTGCCATGGCCAAGGGATGGAGACACCGCAGCCCTCCCAGCAAGGCCACCGGGGACCACCCTGGGCAGGCTGCGGCCCTTTAGGCACCCCCTTAAGCCAGGGCCCAAAATGGGCTGCTCCCTGGGCCTGTCAGCTGCTCGGCACACCTTCCTTCCTCAGCACCCAAAGGCAGAGGGGAGGATGCCTGCCCAGCCACCAGATCAAGGAAGCTATCTCGCATCTTTAAAAAGACCCAGCCAATTCTCTGGGTTCACTTGGGGAGCAGCTTTCTTCCCACCAGAGGCTACATGGAAGATGGGGATGTGGGTGGACTCTGTGTCCCAGTGCAGTGCCCAACGGCACCACCACTTCCTCTGGGCTTTGTCAGCCCAAAGCCCAGGGTCTGCCTGAGGTCAGGGAGCCAGGACAGGGTCCCCACTTCTCCTGAACTAGGTGCTATGCCCTCCCCCGGTCCTCTCTGGCCTCTGTTCCCTGCATCTGACTTTTGCACCCACGTCCCCCCACCATCAACCCTCCCAGCCATAACACTCGTGTGTGCGCACAACCCCCACTGCACATATGTGGGGGGACTCCTGCCTGCATTTGTAGACATGTCCTCTAGCCTTGAGGTGCTCACCCCCATACCCCTAAAGGGAAGGGATCCTTCCGGTCTGTGCTGGCCTCCCACCCAGCCGTGCCTCTCTCCGTGCCAGGTTTGGGGCATTGGCTGTGAGGACCGGGCCGTGTACTTCCGCCAGGGTGTCACCCAGAGCGAGCTCAGTGGGAAAACATGGAAGGCGATCGTTGCCAGCCGAGAGAGTGACCGATCGCACTCTGGTAGCTCATCAAGTCTCCTCAGGTGATCCCAGGGGCAACAGGGCACTGAGGACTTGGGTCGGGAAGGGTTGTCGGTGGCCTCGGTGGGCAGTGTCTGGGGGAGGCTGCAGCTGGGCCTTGTCTGAGGCAGGGAAAAACCAGGTTCGGCCTGCAAGAGCCAGGGCCTGTGAGGTCTCTCCCTTCCTGTGCCTGGTGCCAGGGCTCGGCCCGAGGGTGGCCCATGGGGGCAGGCTGGCGGCAGGGTGGGAGGTGGCAGGTGGGTGAGGTTGGAATGTCCGTCCATGTTGGAGCTGGGGGTCCATCCCAGCCCCTGAACAGGGCTGGCCCACTGGTTCTGAAGTCTCAAGGTCTGGGAGAGAAAAGGCTTCTCTGTGGGGTGGCTGCTAAGGCCCCTCTGTCAAAGGAAAGCAGAGAAGAAGACAGAGGGTCTCTCTAGTCTAGAACGGGGGCCTCAAACTTGGCCGTGCACCAGAAACGCCCAGAGGGCTTGTCCCCGCACAGACGTCCAGGCCCCGGCCTCAGAGCTTCTGTTTCCATAGAATTTTGCATTCGGTAGATTTTGCGTTATTTGCGTGGTCCCAGGTGTGCCTGCTGCTAACAGCTCTGAGGACCACGCCTTGAGAGTCATGGGTGTAGAGAGTGTGGATGAGTCCTGGCTGTGCCCATTGGCGGCCACTGCAGGCAGGGGACTGAGGGTCTCAGCCGGCGGGGGGCGCGGGGAGGAGGGGGAGGGTATCACCTCAGCTCTGTACCGCGAATGCCCACGGTGCTTACCTGCCCAGTCCTGTGGCACAGGGGCCCTTGGGACAGCGCTCCACAGCAGCAGGGGCCCTCGCCAGACCCTGGTCCATATCCCTTTGCCTCCGCAAACATGGCGGTCTTCACTCTGCTGCACCGGACGCCCAGAGGCCCAGGAGGTTGGCCCGGCTGGACTTTCCTCATTTACCTGAGGGTTGAGGCTCTCAGCTGGTAGTACTCAAATATTGGAATCAGCTGAGAAGCTTCCAAAACTGCTGATGCCAAACCTTAATCTTGGCAATGGCTTCTTAAATAGGACATCAGGAGCACCGGAAATGAAAGGAAAAATAGAGACAGTTTGATCAAAATTAAAAACTTTTGTGCATCAAAGGACGCCATCAGGAAAAGGAAAAGACAATCCACAGAATGGGAGGAAATATTGGCGAATCACATGTTTGACAAGGGTCCAGTATCTAGAATACATAAAGAGCTCTTACAACTAACAACAAGACAACTCAGTTTAAAAAGGGCAAAGGACTGGAATAGACGTTTCTCCCAAGTAGATGCGCAAATGGCCGACAAACAAATGGAAAGACGCTCGGCGTCATTAGTCATGAGGGAAATACAAACCAAAACCACAAACGAGATACCACTTCACACCCACCGGGAGAACTGAAGTCAGAAAGGCGATACCAAGTGTTGACAAGATGGGGAGAGATTGGGACCCCTGTGCAGTGCTGCTGGGAAGGCAAACAGGGTGGCCGCTGTGGGAAACTGTCTTGGAGTTGCTCAAGAAGTTAAAGATAGAGCGACCCCGTCGCTCTCGCACCCAGCACTCGCACCCCTAGATCTACACCCAAAAGAACGGAAAACAGATGTCGAAACAAAAATTCGTATGTGAATGTTTATAGAAGCGTTATTCACAGTAGCCAAAAGGTACAAACAACTCAGGTGTCCATCCGCAGATGAATAAATGAAACGGGGAGTATCCATACAGCAGAATATTCTTCAGCAACAAAAGGAAGTACTGAGTCACGCTACAACGCGGGTGAACCTTGACCTCATCATACGAAGCGAGAGAAGCCAGTCACAAGACTGAATGTCACGCGATGCCGTTTATATGCCACGTCCAGAAGAGGCAAATCCATAGGGATAGAAAGCCGATTAGTGGAGGCCGGGGGGTGGGGAAGTGGGGGTGGGTATGGAGAGTGGCTCCTTAATGAGGTCAGGGTTTCCGCGTGGGGGTGACGACAAAGTTCTGGAACGAGGTAGTGGTGGTCGTTGCACAACCTCGTGGGTGTATTTAAATGCCACATCATTTGAGATGGTAAATATTCTATCATATGTATTTTGCCACAACATGAAAATAATAATACCACCAGATTTCCACCCCCAGATAAGTGATAATGATCAGCCTGGGGTGAGACTGGGCTGTCCAGCTCCCCGGGAGGTAGCTATCCGTGTGTGTGTGACACGGCGTGGCTGTGGCTTGTCCGGGGTCACAACGGACGAGCCAGGCCTGCCCACAGCAGCACGTGTCCTTCTCTTGAAGGGGTCACGGGTCTGCCCCTCTTGTCCCCAGTGCTGGCTGCTTCTTTGGCGACGAGGTAAGGGGCAGTGGTGAGTCCTGTGCACCGAGCGACACGGACGCCTCTTTGGAAGCCGACAGACCGGGGCCTGACCAGCCTGTCCCTGCAGAGTCTGTGGACGGTCCCAGGAACCCCAGGGACAGCTTGGCCTCAGGCACCGGCAGGACCCCAGAGCTTGCCGTGGAGGTTGCTGGCCCGGCCACGCAGACTCCTGGGCCCGAGCCTCGCCCTGGCGCGGCCTCCACCCCGGCCGAACTGCCCTGGACCAATATTGACCTGAAGGAGCCCAAGAGAGCACTCAGCCACTCAGCTGTTAGCTTTCCAGAGACCACCGGCCTCTCCTCGCTGGGGCTCCTCCCACTGGGCTTGGAGGAACCCTATGGGGCCGATGACCACCCGCTGTGGGCCTGGGTGTCAGGAGGAGGCTGTGCCGTCGAGGCTCACGCTGTCCTCAAGTGGTTCACCGTCCAGTCGGGTAAGCGCAGGTGTCCGAGGGCCCGGCACCCCAGAGGGTGCTCCTTGCGGGGGGTAGCAGAGGAAAGAGCCCTGGCCTGCTGCCCAGCTGTGGGCGGGCTGGGCGCCTGGCCCTGAGGCTCCACTGGCCTGCAGGCCTGTCCCCCCCGGTGCAGACGCTCTCCTTGTCCATCATGCCGGCGCAGACTGCTGCCTGGCGGAAGCAGATCTTCCAGCAGCTCACGGAAAGGACCAAGCGGGAGCTGGAGCACTTCCGGCACTACGAGCAGGCCGTGGAGCAGGTGGGCAGTTCCCGGAGGCACCATCCTTCAGCTGGCACGCACTGAGCGCCCACGGTATACTGTCCCGAAGGGGAGGTGGAGGAGACCGACAGGCATCCATTCCTCTGTCCGCCCAGCTCAGAGGTGAAGGCGTCCCTTCCAGGCCCCATAGATTCAGGGATAAAGACGGGAGTCCAGTCCCGGACTCATCCATCCAGAAGAACTCAGGCCCCATTGTGCTCTAGGCACAGCCTCGGCCCTGGGGACCCAGATACCAGCCTCAATGGGAGGCGTGGACAAGGGAGGGCTGTCGTCCCCTTCTCCCCCCCGGAAGGAACCCCAAGAGCCAAGGGGGTGTGGCGTTTGAGACGAGTGAGGACGGGGTTGAGGGCTGGCCTGGAGCCCCTCAGGCAGAGCCCAGGCCCTGGAGGCCCGCAGTCAGGGTGGGAGGCCGAAGTTACGCCAAGCACATGGCTCCCTAGGCCTCGGCTGCTGGTCTGGGAGCATCTCGTCGGGGGCTACGCGTCGGGCCTCCAGACACAGGCAGACCAGCTGTGGGCCCCAGCTTTGCCACTGGCTCCCTCAGTGACATTGGGTCAGGCACAGAACCTCCTCGAGCCTCAGTTTCCCCATCTCGAGCATGGGGTAAGAGTGCCGACCCCACAGGCTATTTGAGAATTAGGAGGGTGTGCAGAGACAACACTCACTGGGGGTGTATGATAGTGCTACCTTGGTCATTAGGGGGAAGTTAGGGAGCTGGGAGCTGGGTACGCACGGGGCCAGAGTCCGGGGCCCCAGGGGCCTGCCTGTGACTCTGCCCTGTGCCCTTGGGGCCTGTGCCGCAGTCGGTGTGGGTGAAGACAGGGGCCCTGCAGTGGTGGTGTGACTGGAAACCCCACAAGTGGGTGGACGTCCGCGTGGCCCTGGAGCAGTTCACGGGGCTCGACGGGGCTCGGGACAGCATCCTCTTCATCTACTATGTGGTCCACGAGGAGAAGAAGGTGTGTGGGGGGCTCCCGGGGGAGGGGGGCCCCAGGGCCAGGCCTGGGGGACACCGGCCCCCAGGTGCTCAGTCGGGGACCGTGTCTGGTGCTGGGTCAGCGGCCGGCAGGTGCATGGAGTCCCCTGCTGCAGCGTCAGCGAGCCCTCTCCTCACGGAGCCGCTGACAGTCACTGGGGTTTCAGCTCAGGGACTTAAAGCCCCTCCGCCCTCCCAGCGCTGGGGTTCGAACCCAGTCAGTTGGGTTCTCGAGTGCTCTTGTTGACATCAAGAATGTCACGAAGGCACGTGCTCATGAACTAGGCTTCCCTGCTGAGCACGCGTGGCCCCAGAGCCCACCACTCGAACCCACAGGCCCCGGGGACCCCTGGTACTGGCTCTCTGGAACCAGGGCGTCCCAGGCCATCCCTGTACCACCACCACGGCAGGGGCTCCACCCAGAGGCCCGCTCTGCCCCCAGGCCCCCAGGTCCCCCTCTGCCCCGGTGACAGCCCTGCCCTCCGCCCTCCATAAACAGTACGTCCACGTGTTCCTCAACGAGGTGACGGTGTTGGTCCCCGTGCTCAATGAGACCAAGCACTCCTTTGCCCTCTACACGTCCGAGAGGACGCGGCAGAGGTGGCCTGTGCATCTGGCTGCTGCCACCGAGCAGGACATGAATGACTGGGTGAGCGTGCATGACGGATGGGCCGGGCTCCGAGGGCAGTGGTCCTGGGCCTGCCCCCCGGCCTCGGCCTGCCGCCTGCCCCTTCCCAGCGCTGACCGGCCCTTTCCCCACGCCAGCTCGCCCTGCTCAACCTGTCCTGCTGTGAGAGCCGGAGGGTCCACGGCCGCCCCTCCCCACAGGCCATCTGGTCCATCACGTGCAAGGGGGACATCTTTGTAAGCGAGCCCAGCCCGGACCTGGAGGCCTCCGAGCACATGCTGCCCTGCGACCAGATGTGAGTCAGCTCTGCCCCGGACTAGCCCAGGGCAGCCAGAGGCGGCGGTTCTAGAAGGAAGGGCCTCGCTGCCCACTGGCCAGCCACAGGAATGGCCAGCTGGTTCCCAGGGCTTGAGTCTTCCTGGGCCTGTTGGAGGACCCCAAGGGGGACCAGAAGCCTGGCAGGGCTCAGGCACATAGGTGCCATTGCGTAGGTGCCGTGTGTTGGGGGGCAAGGTGGGGGTGGCTCTGTAGGTGGCAGGGGATAGAATGAGGATGGCCCTGCCTTCTGCCCCCACATGCCCGGCCCAGACCCCCGGGGGCCATGAGGAACGGGGGCTGCTGGCTCGACCCCTCACCCGCAGACCCTGAGTCTCCTGCACCCATCCTGGGGTCGTGTTAGCTCCGATCACTGCCCGATGGGAAGCCAGGCAGGTGCCACAGTCCTTAATACAGCCCACCAATCTGAGACCGAAGAGGAGTCAAAATTGGATGTTCAAGGGAGGCCAGTGAGCCAAAAGCGCTGCAGGGGTAGAAGACTGGCAAGGTGTGCCGGGGCGCGCATCTCTGTGACCCCTCTCCGCTCGCTCCAGGTTCTGGCGGCAGATGGGAGGCCACCTGCGGGTGGTGGAGGCCAATGGCCGGGGTGTGGTGTGGGGCATCGGCTATGACCACACGGCCTGGGTCTACACCGGCGGCTACGGCGGAGGCTGCTTCCAAGGTGAGAGCGGCCTGGACACGGAGGCTGGCAGGACCAGCTCCCCGAGCCCTGCCCACCGCCTTCCCCGGGCCAGTCCCTCCTCTAATCCCACCTGGCTTCCCTGCCCCACTCCGGAGCCACTGTCCCAGGGTTGACTCTGAGCTGACAGCGGCTGACAGGTGACCGTCACCACAGCCAGCCTCCACAGAGGATGGTCCCGGGGCCAACCCTCCAGGTGTGAGAGCCCAGAGACCAGGCCTGGCCTCCAGTGCGCCTTCCTGGGCACCCGCAGCTGAGCTGGGGGCCTTGCAGGTTCTAGAAAGGCAGCTGCCAGAGCCTCCCACTGTGTCCCACCCCTCACTTCACAGATGGTGCCTCAGGGCACATTGGGGTGGCCCCAAGACCTGGGTCTCCTGATTCCCAGGCCTGAATTCTAGCCCTTGAGTAGGTGGGTCATGCCTTAGGGGATGAGACCTTGCCAAACCCCTGTTGACTCCCCAAGTTCTGGGAAGCAAGGTCCTGTGTCTCCTCCTGGGAAATGCAGGCCGAAACAGACTCTGGAGTGGAAAGTTCCAAGCCACAGCCCACATGCCCTACAGTGAGGGACGGCCAATCCTGGAGAACCAGGTTTTGTCCCCATTTTACAAATGTGAGGAGATTGGGGCTGGTGGACGTTATGTGAGTGTTAATAAGGATGGAGCTGGTGGCCCCCCCCCCCACCTGCCTGGTGCCTGGTCAGTAGGAAGACGGAGGGAAGAGGGGCAGCCAAGAACAGGGTGTGAGACACAGGAGCTCGAGGTGGCGTGGACAGGAGATGTAATGCGCTGTAGGTCTGCTCATGGAGGAGCAGAATAATCACGCACCGAGAACCCCAAGCCAGGCCCGTGAACCCCTCTCTGCTGGCCCTCCCCGCCTACCCTCTGTAGCCTTCAGGGCTTCGAACGGAAGCCTGAGCCCCCAGCCGGCAGCCTCCTCTCCCCCCAGGCCTGGCCAGCAGCACCAGTAACATCTACACGCAGTCGGACGTGAAGTGCGTCTACATCTACGAGAACCAGCGCTGGAACCCCGTCACGGGCTACTCCAGCAGGTGAGCGGCTCGGGCGCCAGTCAGGGGCCTGCCCGGCCCAGGCCACGGTCTCGACGGGAACACGAAGGTGGTCTGTGATGGCCTCACCGTGGGGTCCCCGAGGGCCATCCGGCTCATCTAAGCTCCGCTCTGTCTCAGACGGGGAGATCGTTCATGACCGTTCAGTGTCGCACCCGCGGCTTGAGGGATTTCCTTGTGTGTAAATATTTGTGGGTTTCTCCGTTCACGCCAGTAAATTAGGGTTTGAGTTTTGCTGAGGCAGTTGAAACACGGTGCCAGAGGATGTCCCAGAGACCTCTGCGTGGCTGTGTGTAGCGTCCCTGCAGAATGCTGACCTGCTTGCGTCCCTGCTTCCTCCTCAGTCCTTCGGAAGAGGGACAGGGCAGCCGCATGCTCTCTGGTCCCCTCAGAGCGTGCACACCGAGGGCCATGGCTCCTGCCACCTGAGCCTCATGGCCACCTGCCCGACACCATCATGTGGGGCCTGTCGCTCTGTGTCTGGGTTGGCTCGGCTCCTGTCACCAAGCACCATGCACTGGGCAATCTTAAACGATGGACGTTCATTCTCTCCCCATCTTGAGGTTGGGGCGTCTAGAACCAAGTTGTGGGCAGGGCCACTTCGCTCTGAGGGCTGTGAGGGACAGTCCGCTCCCAGCCTCTCTCCTGGAGGCCTCAGCTGTCCCTTGGTTTGTGGCAACGTCCCTCCCGTCTTCACATCACTTTCCTTATTTGGGAAATTTGAACTCAGCAAGGACACTGTCGTATTGGTTTAGGGCACACCCTAAGGACCCCATTCTGACTTGATCACCTGCAAAGAGCTTCTTTCCAAGTAAGGTCACACGGGTACTGGGGATAAGGCTTCAACATCTTTGCGGGGCATAGCGACCCCGTAAGAGGGGAAGAGGTGGGCTCTCAGCCTCAGGCGGGTGGCCTGGCCGCAGGGGTCACCCGGGCTCCCATGTGACGGCGGTCAGCGGGTTGCTGTCCCCACCCCGGGGCAGTTCTGGTTTTGCCCCTCACCCCTTTGGAGATGCTGGTGTCCCAGGTGCTCATGTCTGTCACCAGCTGGTGCTGGCCCGTCTCTCTTCCAAGTCACCCCACCACCACCCCCGTTGTCCACCGCAGGGGTCTGCCCACCGACCGGTACATGTGGAGTGACGCCTCGGGGCTGCACGAGTGCACCAAGGCCGGCACGAAGCCCCCATCCCTGCAGTGGACCTGGGTGAGCTCCGGGCTGCGGGGCGGGGTCTGGCGCTGGGGCCCGCCCATGCTGATCCGCCTCTCCTCCAGGTTTCTGACTGGTCTGTGGATTTCAGCGTTCCCGGGGGCACGGACCAGGAGGGGTGGCAGTACGCCAGTGACTTCCCTGCGTAAGCATCTCTGCGTGGGGAGGGGCCCTTGCCCCGTGCCAGGCGGCACCCTGGCCCCATGCCCTGCCGTCCCCGGTTGCTCCAGCCCCCGCAGGCCCCGAGGAGCAGACCCCAGTATGGCCACCTCGGCTGCCGGCAGGGTTTGGAGCCAGTCTGAGCTGAGCTCAGGCCCGCCCACCTGCCATACCTAGCTCAGCGTCAGGCTCAAGGAGGACTGCCATGGCTCCCTTAGCACCCCGCTGCTGTCCCTGCTGCACTGGGGGAGGGTTCTGGGGGGGGGGGGGCCAGCCAGGGACCTGGTGCCCTGGGCTGCTTGATCAGGGGTGGCTTTGGGGAGCTTCGGGCCAGGGCCTGGGTGATGGGCACGGGTGCTGGAGGGAGGTGTCAGGTGAAGAGGCAGCTTGAACAAAGTGGAGTGAGGCCAGCGCCGTCCTGTGAAGCAAAGGGAAAAGTGGGTAACAGGTCCACAAAGCCGGGAGGCCCTGGTGGCCAGTGGGCACATGGCATTGGTGGGCAGCAGGCCCTTCACGGGGCACAAGTCACATCCATGTGGAAGACAGAGCTGTGGGAGCCCGACCCAGGGCCTCTGAGCAGGCCCTAGGCCGGGGAATGAGGCAGGTGTCTCGGATGGGTGAACCCACAGGCATCCCCTCCAGCCATAGCCAAGCCTCCTGGACTTGACTCTCCCCTTGTCTCTGGGCCTCAGCTCAGCTGTTCCCCGGAAGGGCTCTGATGGGCCTGGTGGCGGGGGAGGGGGGGTGGCTCAGAGCCCCCCTAGCTAGAACCCCTGGTCTGGCAGCCTCCACATCCTGGCCCCCTGGAGACCCTGACCCCGGGGAGACCTGAGCCCCAGAGACGCCGGCCAGGCAAGCCTTGTGCCCTATGACCCCTGCTCCCTGAGGAGCCTACTCTGTGGCTCACACGGAGGCTCTGCCCTTAACAAGTGGAGAAAGAATGTGTGTGTGTGCGCGTGCGCGTGCACACAGGGTCCCTTTCCGGAAACTTCCACAAAGTGGTCTTGATTTTGGTTTCTTTCTTTTGCAGCTCATACCATGGGTACAAAACCATGAAGGATTTTGTCAGGAGAAGGTGCTGGGCCAGGTAAAGATGGGAGTGACATGGTAACTGGGGGCTGTGAGCCTGCCCCTCCCACAGGGCCCTCCTGGGCCAGTCTGCATGGAAGCAAAGCAGAAAGAGAGGTGGGAGGGAAACAGAATCAAAGTAAATGTCAGCCCAGGAAGTGCCCTTGGGCTCCCAACGCTCTCTGGTTTCTGAAGTTTGTTTTCAAGAACAAATAAGAGAAATGTCACTGGCAGGCTCTGCTCTGAGCAGGACAGGCAGGTCTTGATGGGAGGCCTGGCTTGGGGCAGGGCAGGGTGGGGCCGCCGCTCCAGGCCCCTCATTCCTGACCATCAGAAAGGGGTGCCCACTTAGGTGCTGGGGGTGGTCCTGGCCCTCCCCACCAGGCTCGCGGAGGCCGTGTGGGCTGAAGGGTGGCCCACTGCAACCACCTGCAGCCTCCTGCCTACACGTCTAGAGCAGGTGGCCTGCCATAGCATCAGACCCCTGGGTTCTGCTCTCTTGCACTGTGCAGAAAATGTAAGCTGGTGACCAGTGGGCCCTGGCTGGAGGTGGCCCCTATCGCCCTTGGGGACGTGTCCATCATCCCAGAGAGCCCAAGTACCGACAGAAGTGGGCACAGCATCGCCCTCTGGGCCGTCAGCGACAAGGGGGACGTGCTGTGCCGCCTGGGTGTGTCAGAGCTCAACCCCGCGGTGAGCACCCTGCCTCCGAAGGGCCACTGGGCCTGCCCACCTGTCAGCCCTTGGGCCCTCCTGGGGTTCTGGCAGATTCTTCCCAAAGGTAAACTCTGGACTGAAGTCCAGCTGGGCTCAGGCCTCCCGGGGCCTGCCCAGGACAGTCCCTGGGGCAGGTGGACACTATAGGTGGCCCGAGGGGGTCACTAGCTCCTGGGACCTTGGGCGGGGGGGAGGGGCAGAGGCTGGACCCTGGCAGCCTCAGTGTCCACCCTGGCTTCCATCCCCAGGGCTCCTCCTGGCTGCACGTGGGCACCGACCAGCCCTTCACTTCCGTCTCCATTGGGGCCTGCCACCAGGTGTGGGCCGTGGCCAGGGACGGCTCTGCCTTCTACCGAGGCTCCGTGTCCCCCGCACAACCAGCTGGTGAGTGCTACCTCTCGAGGAGGGTCCCCGCCAGTTGTGAGTGGGGACAGGGGGCGGCCGGGGCTGGTCAGAGCGAAGCTGCACGTGCTTCTGCTTCTGGAGGAAGGAAGATGGTTCTCTTCATGTTCAGTTCAGCTGGACAAGCGTGGGGCCAGTGCTGCCTGTGGACCAGGCACGGGGGCCAAGCCAGGACGCCCCAGAGGCCTCGCCCCCTCCTGCTGGGACCTCTGGGACCAAGTGGGGGGCGGTCATCCCGGTGACGGGGCGGTCCCTCGCAGCCGCCCTTCACTAGCCTTGGCCTCCAGCGCAGGGCATCGCTGGTTGTGGGCACTTCGCACGTCCTGCCATTTGGGGCGCCCTCCTGGGGTGGCCCTGCATGGCCTCCTGACGGCTCTACAACCCTCTGGGCATGCAGGCCATGCTGGCTTGTTCTTGGCTGGATGGCGGAGGTCCAGACAGACGGGTGGTGGCTTACACGTTGCTGCCCTCCACACGGGGACGGGCCATGTGGCAGTGATGGTGCGTGGTGGCCCCAAGACGGGCTGTCCACCATGTGCCAGGCTGAGCACCTTGGTGTCTCTGTTCCGAGATCGTCCCATTGGACCCCACCGTCTGGAACCCGCCACAGCCTCTGAGGGCCCTGGGCGAGGTGGGGTGTTGGGGGTTTTGCTCTGCTTGGCCCTCAGCTCACACCGGGCCCTGTCACGTGTGTGGCCCGGCTGTCCTGGGGACAGAGGCCGGCCATACCTGCCTCAAGCCTGCGAGCCGCAGGGGAGGCCACGTGGTCCACGAGCACATGGGGTGGCAGGTTTGGGGTCGCCAGGCCGCACCCTGAGTCTGACCTTGTGCCGCAGGCGACTGCTGGTACCACATCCCGTCCCCTCCCAAGCAGAGACTGAAGCAGGTGTCCGTGGGGCAGACGTCGGTTTACGCCTTGGACGAAAACGGCAAGTTGTCTCTGATCCTCAGTGGTCACCAGGGGAGACTAGAACGTCCCTGAGCACCCTAGTGGGACGAGACCCTCACCAGGCCCGGTCCCTGACACAAGAGCTTTGTAAACCACCATGAGAGGCCGTCAGCCTGAGGTCAGCCTCCAAACCGGTCCCTGTCCCCAGCTGTGCGGGGCGGGGGGCGGCAGCTCTGCCCCCTGGGCAGCCTGGGGCTGGCGGAGGTCACCCGCCTGTGCCGCGCGGGCAGGGCTCTCGCCAGTTCCCTTGTGTGCTTTCCGGCTGTCGTTGCGACGAGCAAGGCCGGGAAAAGGGCAGAGTTGGGACTGGAACCAGGGCTCTGAGTCCAGACCCTGTTCTCTGTATTTGTTTAAAGAATTCCTTGTCCTCCGTTTCTCATGCGTAGAGAGCACGACGGTACCAGCCCAGCCCAGCAGGGCGATTCTGAGGCTCGGGTGGAGTCCGGCGTGGAGAGCGGAGAGCTGGCTCCGGCCCCGGCTTTTCTCTTCCTGGGTCGGCAGGAGCCCCAGCAAGTGTGGGGACAGCCGCCTCTGTCTCCATGGCCAGACCCCGAAGTGGGTCCCAACACTCTGGGCCCTTCTCTCTCCAGGGAACCTGTGGTATCGCCAGGGGGTGACGCCCAGCTACCCGCAGGGCTCCAGCTGGGAGCACGTGTCCAACAACGTGTGCCGAGTGTCCGTGGGGCCCCTGGACCAGGTCTGGGTGCCCGGGGGGCGGGTACGGGGCAGGGGCCGAAAGCGGATGCTTGCTCTGGGGGCTTGGGGTGCTCTAGGTTCCCGCTCTGGTCTCCCCGCTGCCATCCCCACGGTCCTACCGGAGCTGGGGGCTGGGCCCTCACCGGGTCTGTGTTCCAGGTCTGGATTATCGCCAACAAGGTCCCGGGGAGCCACAGCCTGAGCCGGGGAACCGTGTGCCATCGCACCGGCGTGCAGCCCCGACAGCCCAAGGGCCAGGGCTGGGACTATGGCATCGGGGTGAGCAAGGCCTATGTGGGGCGGCTTACCTGGCCCCAGGGCGGCGTGGTCACCATGGGTGGGTGGGAGGCCCTAGACAGCCCCTCGGGGGTCCTTGATCTCCTGCAGTCTGGAAGCATGGTCTCTCCCCTTGACCCTGGCAGCCACGGGTGACGAGGCTCTCTCCTTCCAGGGGGGCTGGGATCACATCACCGTCCGGGCCAATGCCACCAGAGCCCTCAGGAGCAGGTCCCAGGAGACAGCCACTGGGTGGAGTGGGGAGCCGGGCCTCCCCAGCACGCCCTCGAGGGCGGCCGGAGCCCCGCACGAGGCCCGCGGCCCCGTCTGCTGCTGAGGCCACCTCCCCCCCTCACCTGAAGCAGGTTTCATGCAGGTGTGAAGGATCAAGGTTGATACGTCTGAGCCATTCTTAAATGTGGATCCTGGAGGGAACCTGGCCTCAGGTCACGGCCACTTGAGAGGCACTGGCTGAACCAGCCCAGAAATGTGAAGCTTTGTGGATGCTCTCACACGTGTCCCTGTCTGCAAGGAGGGCCACGGAGCGGGCTGGGGGCCCCTTCACCCCAGCCTTTCCCACCTGTCCCTCCCCACTCTGCCTCCCTCCCTTCCAGAACGGGAACCTGGAGCCGTCCAGGAATGCTACCCCAGGGAAGCCAATTCCACAAAACCCCCAGTGTCCCCAAACAGATGGGGTACGCCGTCCTTCTGCCCCCCCCCCCAAAGAAAATGGCTGTGGGGCTCAGGGCCACTTTGCGCTGTTCTGGGATGCTTTCTCAGAGCCAGACGCGAGAATACGATTTAATTTCAGAAGTTAAGCGAGAGTTGGCAGCTTGGAAGGAAAGGCTGGGGAGGGGTGTCTTTCTCCTGGGTGGGCACAAGCCCCCGGCAGGGCTGGGAGAAGTTGTCTGCCTGCAGAACTTGCTGGCATTCACCCCAGCCAGCCTCCCCTACCCCGCCCCGCCCCCCTGTCTGATCAGGCGGTAGGGGCCGTGGGGACCTGGGGTGTGCCGGCCGCAGCCCCAAGCCCTACACGCCAGGGCAGGAGCCCTCTCTCCAGGCCGGTAGGAAGGCACCTCCCATCCTGCAGCTTCTCTGCCTTTTTTTTTTTTTTTTTTTTTAAGATTTTACTTTTAAGTACCTCTACGTCCATCATGGGGCTCAAACCCACAACCCTGAGATCAAGAGTCGCAGGCTGTACCAACTGAGCCAGCCAGGCGCCCCTTCTCTGCTGCTGCTTAAGTGATTACGGCCCCCTTTGGTGAAGCCTCAAATGTGCTTCCTGCAAACAGACACTTTGCCTGGAGGGTGTGGGAGCCCAAGGTGGCCTCGCTCATTTGGGGACAAAACGAACGGACTCCAGCCTTCCCTGGAATTCCCATCAGGAAGGGTCAGGGTGGGGCTTGTCCGCAGAGGGTGACTCAAAGGAGGTCTCCTCCGACGCCCCCTCCTGCGGGGCACTGGAGGGGGCTGAGGGTCTCTACGTTTGCCGGGAATTGTGGAGGTGCGGCCTGGAGGTGCGAGTGTGGGCTGGAGACACTGTCGTGGGTGTTCACACCTGTCAGGTTGTCTCCAGATGGGCACTGCGGGTTTCTTCTACAGCAGTGACCTGCCATTCCGCGGTGACTTGCTGTCCGTGGCTGGGCCACTGTGTCCTCGCTGCTGAGCGCCCACCGTCTTCCAGCTCAGCACCACTGAACCATCTCGATTCCTTGGATGCTTTAGTCAATAAAAACTCACGCCGGAGTGCAAAGGACGTGCCAGTTTTTTTATTGCTACCTTGTGATGAAAACGCACAGTTCCCCATGAGTGTCCAGCCCGGGGCCACAGTAGCAGTCGTGGTAGAATCTTTTAATTTTGTTTTATGACACAGCATTGGTTTCATTAGTACTCTGAAGGGACCATTAGGAGAAATCAAAGCAGATTTGGGTCACTTAAGAAACATTTTTACCACAATTACAGCAGGGGCACTGGCCATTCAGTTCCGGGTAGGTTTTCCCACACAGAGAAGTCGCAGTTCTGGTTTCTCGGCTCCAGTCCGCGGGGATCTCAGCCGCCAGAGCTCATGCAGCAGGTCTGGTCGGCAGGTCGGTGTGAGGCCCAGGGCTAGGGGGTCGCTGGCTTTGGGCGCCCTTGCAGGGCAGGAGGGCCCAAGACAAAGGCCGAGGGAGCAGACCCAGCAGCAGGCCTCACTGGCCCGTCACCAGACCTTTCCCCTCCCCTGCCCCCCATATTTAACACCCCAGAGCTCGACTGGGACCTTTAAGGGTCTTTTGTGATGAGGCCACAGGGGAAGAAGGACCAGACATCTGGGCCCAGGTCACCCTCTGGGAAGCAGAGTGGATGCAGGTGCCAGTTTGGGACAGAAGGAGCTCTGAAAGCTGTCATCCGCAAGGTGGTGACCCACAGACCCTCACACCACCCCTGGTCATCGGGCACGGTCTCCCGGACAGAGCCTCTGCTGGGCGCCCCCCCCACTCCCAGTGCCCTCAGCTCAGTCTGTCGGTTCCTTCAGCCAGTTCGGGGGTTGCACTGAGCTCTGCAGGCCTTGCGCTGGGTCCCGGCCAGCAGGGCACCCACGGGGAGCATGGGCCCCATCAGTCCCGAGCTCCCAGCGGCCCCCGACCCTGGCTCCCATGGGCAGGATGTCCTGACCACGGACTTTCCCGAGTGGCCGCCTCCGAGGGGCAGGCCAGGAGCACCTGGGTCCCCACCTGACCATGCTGAAGGATGGCTGCGGCCAGACCAGGCCTCCCAGGGCCACCCTCCAGAGGGCCTGGCATGGGGCCCGCGGAGGGTCCAGCCAGTGCCTGACCTGGAAAGTGAGGACCGACGCGGCTAATGGCTGTTCGGCTCTCTGCCGTCCTTGATGCTGACGCCAAGCCTGGCAGTGGATTAAGCGGCTGGGGCTGGGACCACCGGGGTTGGGAGGGCGGGAGGCGGCCCTCCGCTGGGGCAGCCCTGCTCCCGCGCTGCTCGGGCTCCCACCCAGGAGGGGCTTGGCCCCCCGGCGCCTCGGGGACAGCTCTGGCCTCAGATGCCAGGCCACCCCTACCCTCACCACGGCCCCTGTCACTGGGGTTCCTGCCTGAGGCACAGGGATGAGGGAGGAGAGGTGCCAGGGGGCGTTGAGAGCGAAGTCGCCAAGCCTGTCGCCACAGAAGGAAGCTTGGCCCGAGGCAGCCAGGGGACCTGGCGAACTGCCCGGGCCTGCCCTGAAGGAGCAGCACCAGGTGGGGGAGGGCAGCTCCTGCCATCCCAGGCTCCTTCCCACGGAGGAGCCCTGCCGGGCCCCCGGCTCCAAGCAGGGCCCAAGAACACCCGGAAGGTCTGTCAGACCGTCCTCTGCCACTGAAATGACCCCGGCAGTGACCAGTATGATGGGTGGGACGCAGAGGGAGGCAGCGACTCCCAGCCTCCCTCCCGGACCTGTCTCCGGCCCCGCAGCGCCAGGCCGCGCTCCCCTCCACAGTCAGGAGCCCCCACCCAGGCGGAGGTAGGAAAAGGTCCGAGCCGCTCTTCCCGCCAAGGTCTCTTTAGAATTAATTTGAGGTAATCGGATTAGTATTTCTAGGGGTTTGGGGGTTTCTATCTGACACATGCTGAATTACACGCATCAATCATGTCTGCTTAGCCACACTCCGTGGCCGTGGGCTCTGCTCGCTCTGTGCCTCAGTTTACCCCGAACGAGGAGGCTACATCGCAGGCTGGAGGAGGACCCTTCCGGGGCCTGGGCCTCCGCAGTTACTGGGGGAGACTTACCCAGGCTGACCTTTTCCTGGAATCTCGCCTTGCCTCAGGAGGGAGTTGGGAGTGAAGAGAATTTAGTTACAAAGGCCTGTCCAGTGGGGCCCTAGTCCATTAAAAAGCAGGTCCTGGGACCTCTGTGGAGCTTTGGGCCTCACGTGGCCCAGAGCCATGGCCTGGACCAGGCCACTCACTGGTCTTGGCCCCTAGAGGCCAGGACGTGCTCCGCAGAGGGCAGCTGAGCGTTCAGGGAAAACGGAGCCGCCGCCGGGGCCCACGTCCACGCGGGGTGTCACCACCAAGCTGGGGCTCTCGGCGCGGAGGCAGCAGGACCGGGAGGAGCGGGCCCGGCCGCCGGCCCCCAGGCCAGGCGCTAGGAGCCCTCTCGGAAGCTGTGGATCTGCGTGGAGTACCTCTGCAGGTGGCCCTCGGGCTGGGGCTCGGTGGCCCCCAGCGCGCCCCCGGCCACCTGCTGCTGCTGGTAGTGCTGGTAGAGCTTGGGGCCCGGCCCGTCCAGGCCTGGCAGGCGACCGCTGGACATAGTCAGGATGGTGGAGGTCAGCGACTTGATGTAGTTCTTGGCCAGCGTGAGCGTCTCGATCTTGGAGAGCTTCTTGTCAGCCCGCACGTGCGGGATGACCTCCCGCAGCGCCTGGAACGCGTTGTTCAGCTTGTGCATGCGCTGCCGCTCCCGCTCATTGCTCTCCAGCCGCCGCTGGACGCTGCTCTCCCGCCGGCCGCCGGGCCCCGAGGGCCCCGGCCGCCGGCGCCCGCCCTCCGCCCGCGCCGCCCTGCTCCGCAGGCCCTTGGCCAGCTCCAGCCCCGAGCCCTGCTGGGGCCTGTCCGGGGTCCGTTCCCCTGCGGTGGCCTCCGTGTCCTGCAGGGGCAGCCGGCGCCTGGGGGGCCGGTTCTTGGTCTTCATGGCTCCAGGCTAGTTGTCTCCGCGGGGGGTGGCTCTCAGGGAGGCCCTCGGAACTGAAATCCAGAACACAGGCCACCCTGTGGTCACACGGCAGGCTGGTGGATGCTTAGGACGCCCCGTGGACACTCAGGGCAGCTGTGCCCGGCAGCCCCCTCACTGCCCAGTGGCAGCTGACCACTTGGTGCACAGTGACCCCAGGCCCTTTCCCCCTCACACACGGAAGCCCTGAGCCGAACCCCCACCCCATTCCCGTTTGACCTCAAGGTGATCCCCTCCGACTTTTCTCTGGTGCCCCCTCTCAACTGGACATGGGCTGATCCGGGGACCTTTCCCTGGCCCCCCGCTCCTCCCTGCCCCCTGAGCCTCGGTGGCCTTCAACACTTTTCTCAGACCACCCAGGGACGTGGCGGGACGCTAGCTCAGCGCAGGGTCTGCCTGAGGTTGCCGTGCCTCCCATCTGCCCGGATGGACAGGCGCCCGCTCCAGCCACCTCCCGGACCCGCGGCCCGCTGGATGTCACACATGCAGGGAAGACACTGGGGCCAGAACCGCTGCGGACATGGGGCAGCTGTCCGCGGTCAGAGGTCGACAGTGGCCCGCGCCTGCCACAGCCCCCAGTCCCACCACGTGGGCGGCGCCCCCCCACGTTTCCGCCCCCTCACCCCGACCCCACCAGGACCCGCCGCTCGCTCCTCTCCCCTCGGCCCCACCGGGACCCCCCCACCACCACTTACCTGGAGATCCGCAGCTGCACGCGCCGGGGCTGCCCACGGGGGACAAGGACACGTCGCTTTAGCCGCCCCGGGCGGGGCCGCGGCCGCATGTAAATGAGCCCGCGGGGCGGGGCCGGGGCGGGGCCGGTGTGCGCGTGTCCCTGCCCGGCGGCGGGGGGCGGGGGCGCACCTGCGGGCAGGGAGGCGGGGCGGTGCCACCGCCCCCCCCCCCCCCCCCCCCCCCACCCCGACTCCCGGCGGCCGGAGCCTGCCCGCCGCGCGGAGCCCGGATCTGGAGCCCATTCGGCGGAGTGGGAGACTGAGGCGTCAGCGAGCCCGCGGGCGCGGAGGGAAGCCCTGGGACCGCGCCTGGCCGCCGCACCTGGCCTTGAGGTGAAGGGTCGGAACGCGAGCCGAAGCCCGAAGAAGAGTTGGCGGAAAAGCCATTTTGCAGTAACACTAGTTATTCAAAGGGGCAGCAGCCCCCGGGGGCTTCGCGAGGTCCCCCACCCCCCAGCACTCCGCCCGGCGCAGGTCCAGGGGCGAGTGGGCGGAGCCCTGCCCCGCCGCTGCGTGCGGGTCACGGGGACCTACGTGGTCCGAGGTCTCCCGAGGTCTCCAGCGGGGCGAGAGGTGCTCAGCTTGGGCTCAAACCCGGCTTCCATCCACCTGCTTTGCTTAATCGCCGGCCTGCCTGCCTCCGTTTCCTTACCCTTCACAGCAGCCTGAAAAGGTGTTAAAAGCAGCCTCCGGCTTAGGGGTTCTTCCAGGCTGATGGGGCGCACCTGCAGTGCCGTGAGGTCCCGCGTGGGCCTGGCCTCCCGCGCCTTGTGACCAGCAGGATCAGGGTCAGCGCTGATCTCGCACTTCTCCGAGGGCCTCACAGGGGTGCTCCTAGTCTCCATCTAGCCCCTGAGGGTCTCGGGGGAGTTGGTGGGACCGAAGTCGGGGCCAGTCCTGCTTGGTAGGAGGCTGTTACTGCGCTCCTGGCGGCTGGGACAGGGGAGCGAGGGCCACTGAGGGAGGCTTGGTGCTGAGCGGATTAGCCTCTTGGCGTATAGCTCAGTAGAGGCTGTATCTCAGGAATTAAAATGCTTCCGAAACTCATCAATAAAGGCTTCCGATTACAGATACACTTTGAGGCAGCACAAGCATGACATTTGCAAGTTCAGTTTTTCAGTGATTATACAGACTTTCGTGTTCTCAGGAGCATGGGGGATGTAGGTCATGGAAAAGGGCACGCTTTCTCTAGACTGGGGCAGTGAGTGACCCAGGGCCACTGGCTGCTAGTGCCCACTGCAGGGCATTGCCAGGTCACCAGCCCTGGGCCTCGCATAGCAGGGGGAAAAAACAGGAAAGAAACGCAGCAACAGAGTTTATAAATATATAACTATATTTATTTTGAATATTAAATAGTTTTTAAATTACAAGCAATTTATTGAATCACACTATGCATCAATATACAGTAAAAATCTTACAATTTAAAAATGTACACAATTTAAACTGAAAGTTCATTAGCTGTGATATTGCCGTGAACCTCTCACAACTGTGTTAAAGCACAACAGGGAAGCTGCGTGGGTGTGACTGCCCCCATGGGTCCTCACTTGCAGACCAGATTCAACAGTGGATGCACACACCGGCCCATTGGTAAGGTCTGCCTGCGCTTGTGTGAGCCTGAACAACCTAGTTCAAGCCCTTTGGGTAACAGGTTGTTGGTAGTTCAGTACTGTCTACGCATCTTTCAGAATTTACCTGTGTACTAAAGAGGAGTTTGTTAATAGCCAAAACTGGAGCCAGCCCCGCTACTATCAGGAATATTGTTTATGGGATTGAAATCTGAAGTAATTGAGTTACCCATTCTTATTTTAAGGCTACTTCTCGTAAGGCTATTATTCTGAAGCCCCTATCACCGAAGCCCAACATTCGGAGCCTAACACTGGGCTCACTTCCCGAACTGTCAGATGGTGGGCTGAGTAGGGTAAAACCAGGCGCTGCCTCCCTCACGCCCCGGGCCCCCAGGACAGACATGCAGTAAGTCGCTAACCCTACAAGTACCCTATGGAAAATATGAATACGAGGGAGTGGTTCCGAAAGGCGTTTTACGGCAGCAAAACATACAAAGACTTTTCTAAGATAAAACCCATTTCTATAGAAACAATCACCTGTACATTTAAAAATAGAACGAATGCTCTGTTTTCAATTCAGCTTCACAGAGCTTCTTCACCCTTAAGATGAATGGCTTCTTACCCAGACGCACAGTCCAAGTTCCAGAAGGATTTGGGGAGCACTTTTTTATTTTTTTACATTTCTTTTTCTGACTTATGGACAGGATCGTTTGATAACACAAATTAACATCTAGCTAGGAAGGAAATGAAGGTTCTTTTTATTATAGGATTTAAAATACGTAAACTCCACCAGAGTAGCACAAATTAAAACCTGATAGATTCCAAAGAAGGCCAGGAAAATACCACTGTGAACCAGGTATTATTAACCTCACCCATATTATCTGGAGAATTCCACTGATTTATTTCATTGCATAACTTATTAGAACAAGTTCGGTCTGAAAACCCACTATTGGTAACCAACGTAGTTAAAAAAAAAAAAAAAAACACCAAAAAACAAAAAGAAAACCTGACTTGAACAACAAAGCACATGCTGACACTTCAAAGATGGGCCAAAAATTCTAATCTACATAATTGGTTTCCCGTGTATTGCTTGAGATTTCAAAAGAACATGTTGACTCACATGTTTATTATAAATATAAAATCTTCCCCACCATGCAACACCACAGTAAGATTTACTACTCCAACCCACCCCCCCAACTCAATGTATAAAATGCTTTCTTTTGGCAATTAATCATGACAGCAAGATAGACCTAAAATAAATTAAAATGGGAATTAGGTTGTTAAAATCTCCTTAATCATAGTGAAAAAGGTACAGCCCCCACATATCAATAAATTTATCCCGGGCTGATTATACAAGAAGACTATATATTCTATGGATCTGCTTGACTTTAGTCATTAAATCTGAACTCGTTATAGTTTGAAAAAACTTGTATTAATTATCACCTCTCATATATCTCTCAACAAAGACTGATAGTTAGATGTAAAAATTCAGGAAACTCAGGAAGTCCTCATAGCAAGAAATTCAGAGTTATGACAGTTTTGGCAAAATCACCTTCTAATGCCCTATTAACTTTTCCTTGTTCAGCTCCCTGCTCACACCAAGTGGACAGTAAAGGGGGCTCTTTCTCCATTCTGAGTTCTTGCTCGGGAAAGTTATTGCTAGTATAAAACGTTAGTGGAGCGAACTAGAATTGATAATAAAGGTCATAATTTACTTTGTAAACTCTAGCCAGTATACACAACTGCATCTTGCGCTAGGACCAGGGTTGCTGGGATTTCTATCACGCAGCCCCAGTGGACCTGTGTTACGCTGGAGTCGGGGAAGCAAATCAGCACCGGAAAACATTTGGGGTGAAGGGCCAGGGTGGTGACCACAGACCCGACACCCGACCCCGGTATACACGGCTTCACAGCGGACATGCCAAGCCTCCTTCAACACATGCTGCTCTAGTCCCTGGAAACTTCCTGATGTCAAAGCAGAACTCACAGAGTGCAGAATGAGGTCAGCTTTTTATCATGAACACCCAATTCCTGGCAACATTAGGAGGTGGCGCTGGACACACTCGGTCCTTTTCAAGGCAAGGGGAAAACGTGGTGCTTAATGCAGAAGGGAAGGGTCAGTGCAGATGAGTCCCAGGGCCGCATCCGGGTGGGAGGTCCCAACCAGGAGGACATGCTGGCTGCGCAGGCTCGCCATGGTCTCTCGTCCCTGCTCCCAGCTGCGGGATGTAGTGTATCTCCTCGGTTACAGAGCCCGGCCGCCGCTGGCCGTGACACAGGGTGGTTCTTCCAGGAAAACTCCAGGAAAAACTCTGGACGTTATTTGAAAGCTCAACACCCAGTATGTACAAACAGAATGAACTCAGACTGTCCTCAGCAACCAGAGCCCTGCGCGGGCAGCTTCCTCCTTAAGAGTTTGGCAGCGGCTGAAGGAAGGAGCTACAGGGACACCGAAGCCCCAGCAGCCTGTGCTTCCAAACACTAAGCAGAGGAGCCGGCGTGAGGGGAGGTGGTTCAGGGGCCACAGCAGAGCACGGCTCCCAGGGAGAGGGGCAGGACAGACACCTGGACGTTCTGACCCGAAGCGGACTTCTGGGGTGAACCACCTGTCAAGTTTAACCGAAGGGTCTAAAAAAATGGGGGAGTGGGGTGAGAGAATCACACAGAGGGGCTGCAAGACCCTTCAGCTCCTCAGAGAAGCGTCACTTGCTACAAGGAACCTGCGTTATAGAAAGAGACAAACGTATGTTTCATTCGGTCAACAGAACAAAGCAGTCTTTTTGGACTCATCAAAAGTATTTCCTATAAGAACAAAAAACACTAACATTAGGAATCATGTATCATTTACGAAAAAGTACCATATGTACAATTCCAACAATTCTAGACAGCAGAACACTCAAAAATTTAAACTTTACAAGTACCATGCAGAGCAAACAAACTATAAAACAGAGAAAGAAATCAAACTAGTGGATAGCACCAGCTTGACCTGCCTTATTTTCCTTGAATAATTTACGATTCTGTACAATATCAGGTACTCCTAGAACATTTATCCACAGTGCAATTACAGAAAGCAATTAGTGATTTCTTTAAAAATAATAAATATGGCTCACTGGTGCCCATTCCCATCGTGCTCCCCTGGGCCCTCACGCACAGAAGGGATGCACAGGTGTGGAGGCGGAGAACACCCCGCATGGAAAACAACCCCAAGCCTACAGTTCCCCACACACCAGAGCAGGGTCGACGCTCCCCAAGGATGACCAGGGCGCGAGCACCTCCGGCGGGTGAGAGCGGCCCAGGGCCTCCCCCGCCGGGCTGCCCGCCGTGGGCACGGAGCCAGCGCAGCTCCGTCCCGGCCGCCTGAGTCTCTCTCCTGGGCCGGGCCCGCTGCAGCCGACGTGGAGGGATGTCACCGCTGGGCTCGGTGCAGGAATGCCGCCCTGGGGGAGCAGCCCGGGACCCGGGAGCACAT